TAAGCTATCTGCTTGCAAAATTTCATGCAAATCCATTCAGTCGTTTCCGCGTATTAATTTAATGAAACTTTTTTAACAGGTGGCAACTCTTCCAAAAAATTAGCCTATTTTCCACTGCAGGTCTTAAGCTATCTGCTTGCAAAATTTCATGCAAATCCATTCAGTCGTTTCCGCGTATTAATTTAATGAAACTTTTTTAACAGGTGGCAACTCTTCCAAAAAATTAGCCTATTTTCCACTGCAGGTCATAAGCTATCTGCTTGCAAAATTTCATGCAAATCCATTCAGTCGTTTCCGCGTATTAATTTAATGCAACTTTTTTAACAGGTGGCAACTCTTAAAAAAAGTAGCCTATTTTCCAACCTAGGTTATAAGCTATCTGTGTGCAAATTTTCATTCAAATCCATTCAGTCGTTCCCGCATATTAAATAAATGAAACTTTTAAACAGGTGGCAACTCTGAAAAAGATAGCCTATTAACCAATCTGGCCCATAAGCTATCTGCGTACAAATGCAAATCCGTTCAGTCGTTTCCGCGTGATGATTTCCCAAACATCCAAACATACAAACTTTCACATTTATAATATTTATATAAGATAAGATTGAAAACTTTGAGCACTTTGACCACAACCTAATTTGTTCTTTTTTTCAAAATAAAAAAATAGGGGTATATTTTTTTTTTTTTTTTTTGATATAGAACAATCCTAGGGGCTGGCGGCTTTAAAAATGCGACCTTATTTTTTCTACATACATTTTTGGACCACTTTAATGTACATATGCATATTTTGCTTAATGCTAAATTTATAGTTATTACTACTTTATAGTTATTACTACTTTTTTCGAAGTACTATCAGCACATTCTGCCTTACGAGTGGTCTTGAAGTAAGCCAGAAAGTTGGTGGTAATTATAAAGTGATTCGCTTGGTACGGCATCTTATTACAAGTTTGTGGGAAATTATTTTATTAAAAATCAAAGTGGGCGTAAAATCATATACATACTTCGTCAGAGAAAGTACGCTGTACCATGGCGACATGCACCCGAACTCGTTCTAAGAATGCGAACCCATAACCCAGTTTCCGCGATGCTTTGCATGGAAACCGTAGAATGGTGTCTCATGCCTACATTCCTGGCAGAAGCTTGCCCAATGCTATGACTCCTTTTAAACAACACTATTATAAAACAAACCTTAAGCCTTTCCACAAGGCTTTTTTTCAGCTCATAAAGTAAAGAGGATATAATAAATATAGTTTAAAAAAACTAAAAAACACGCTTTTAAGGCATATCAAACTAAAAAGTAAAAAATAATTCTTAATATAAGTTGAAAATAATAATGAACAAAGAATACTAGTATTATTGTGAAAAAGCATGGGGCGCTCTNCCATTTATTTTCAGCCATAGAAGGGATTTGAAATCATGTCTGGTAAGTTCGTTGTCTCGCGCCTACGACTTGCGCCTTAGCCCACTTGGCCAAATGTGCAACTGATAGGGATAGAATGTATTAACACTAATAAGCCGAGTGCTCGAGTCGGAAAGTAAGTAGACGGTACGCATGCGCAGACAGCGTAGTTNTGAAAAAGCGTGGGGCGCTCTTTGCCATATTTTTCGTCTATCGAGCAACCCCCACTTTTTCACAATAATACTAGTATTTTTTGTTCATTATTATTTTTAACTTATATTAAGAATAATTTTTAACTTTTTAGTTTGATATGCTTTAAAAGCGTGTTTTTTAGTTTTTTTTTTAACTATATTTATTTTTAATTTTTTAGTTCGATTTACTGTTTTCGATATTGACATCGGCATGCTCTAACAGGAAATCGATGATTAGCCGACGTCCTTTTGATATAGCTAGATGTAAAGCAGTAGATCCATTTTTTTGCTAGAGCATTGACTTCAGCGCCCTTTTTTTTT